GTCATCTCTTCCTGCCACGAAGGGTTCGGAGACAGAACAGCTTTTAATCACCCGCTGATGAAGCGTTTTTCTAAAAGGTGTACAGAGACGCAGGCCTGCTTCACGCCCACTTGCTCCACAGTGGAATTTAACGCTGGTCCTGCGAGCCCTGATCAAAGCTCCATTTGAGCCTCTGGATCAGGTTTTCACTTAAATTCTTGTCTCTTAAAACAGCCCTGCTGCTGGCTTTAACACCCGCTAAGAGGGTAAGTAATTTATCTGCCCTCTCTGTTGCTCTGTCATGTCTTAGAATTCAGGCTGACGGGTAGCTCAGCTGATTTAAGACCAAACCCAGCTTTTATGCCTAAAAACATCACGAGCTCTTTTAAATCAAGAATGATATCGTTGGAGGGGTTTCTCCACCCCCCCACAGATCAGAAGAAGAAGCATCTTTTCATCTTCTCTGTCCGGTGCGGGCGTTGACATGTTACATAGCGCGCACAGCTGCAATGCGTCAAACTCAACAATTGTTTGTGCATTATAGAGATGCATCTGCAGGTCGCCCGTTATCCACCCAGCGCTTGTCACACTGGCTGTGTGAGGCCATTTCTGAAGCCTACAGAGCATCAGATTTAGAACCTCCTGTCAACCTCAAAGCACACCCCACCAGGGGTATCGCATCTTCGACTGCCTTGCATAATGGTATGTCAATGCAGGACATTTGCACTGCGGCCGCGTGGTCAACACCCTGCTCATTTATTCGCTTTTACCTACGTGATGTGACGGCTCGTTCCATGACACATTCTGTCCTTAGTGCTCTAACAGAATGAATATTGTTGTTCTCATGGAACTCTGTTTAAGCTCACTTCTGTCTGCATGCTTCACAGTGTGAGATGTTGTTATCAGTCACAAGTTGTGTCTGTGATTTTGGTTCTATTGTCACTAATCAGTTCATGACTATTGTTACCAATCAGTTCATTTGATCAATAATCAGTTCATTGATATTAACCTGTTTATACTGTTCAGCTATGAACCAGTTGGTTCATGCCCCCCCCCCCCCCCTTTTCAACATCTTCTCCCCGTTGAAAGTTTTTTTCCGGGGCGTTCATGCTTTGTCTGAACGCATAGTTACACAACATGCGTCTGTGCATGGCACATAATTACGCGATGCGTAGTTATGCACACGGGGAGCTGAGTGACAAGACGTTTTTTGGGCAAGCTTACGCTTCTTACTGTGTTCGAATGGACCCAGTGAGGCGAGGACCACATCCGCTTCGCCCTTAACCCATCAGCGACAGCCTTAAAGGGCGAAGCCTATATGACATAGAACGTTGGTAACGTACTGTAACCCCAGATTCTATGAATATAGGCGTAGCCCTTTAAG